AGCTGGCTAGATGTCTGGTACCTGCGTGCAAGAAATAAACATCATTTCTCCAGACATGCAGCTGCTCCCTGTTTTTTTGCGGATTTGGATTATTTAGTATGTAAACCCACACAAACATTGAGTAGATTTCAGGGAAGAAATAATATACCAGAAAAAAAATGTAGGAATAACCTTTTAAATTGGCTAACTAGAATAGAGTGATTGCACAGCTTAAAGGATTTGAGAGTGTTTTCTAAGCTGTTGCCAGGCAGTTGCTATGGTATTTTATGTGGTTGCTAAGGTAGTAGCTGTGGAATTCCAGGTAGTTTCTGGGGTGTTGCTAGGTGGTTGCTATAGTATCCCAGGTGGTTGCTAGGATGTTGCTAGAAGGTTGCTAAGGTGTTGCAAGGCAGTTGCTAAAATATCCTACGTGATTACTATAGTGTGGCTAAGTGGTTGATATGGTATCCCAGGTGGTTGCTAGACACATAGAGGAGTGAGGGTCAATATATATATATATATATATATATATATATATATGTGATGATATTTGTTAAATAAAGTTGTATTCCAAATACTGGAAAAAACTGTGGGCATCTCACATGCTGCATGGTGATTTTAAATGTAAACAATCCAACAACTGCAGACACTCAGTGTGCACTCAACATCTTTTGAAGCTTTTTTGCTGGCAGCAATTTGACTTTTTTATCGAGATACTGGTGCATTCGACCAGCCTACTGCAAGAGGGAATTTGACCAAAACATTGTGCAAATACTTTTAGCATTTGCTAAATTATAGGGTGGTGGGCTATGTGGTTATTGCAGATGCCAAAACATTCAAGCAATGTAAGATATTTGCCCTTGGAAATGGGCTCTTTGTACTCTTCAGGCATTTTTGGAACCAGGGAACTGGAACTGTGCTTTTTACATTTGGGCCAGTAGTAAAGTTTTGTGGTCACAATTGGTACCAAAGTAATGGTGAGGCAAACAGCGCTGTTCTTTGTCGGCTGGTTAAGCATGAAACTATTTCTTATAACTTTAACAAATACTTTTGTTAAAAAAAATTTGAGAAACATGATCTTTGGTCAAATGGGAAACACAGGCCTCCTAGTAAGGCTTTTAACAGTTGTTTCACATGGTTGTTTAATTGTATGTTTCTGTAGCATTATGTAGGATTAAGTCAGATACAGAATGTTAAATAATAAAAGTAAGCAGAAAATATTCTAAAAGACATGCCAGGGACTCAACAATAGAATCTCTACCAGTTGCAACAACATGTATGTTTATTTGAACTTGAGTTGTCTGTAATAAGTAAGTTCTCTGCTGTGCTGGATAATATTTGCAATATGAGCGTATAGACAATACGCTAATTTATTACTCTTTCAGGTGAGGATAAAGTCACAGTGGCCAATAATTAGCCCAAAATATAAACGTGAATGGCATGATGATGTGAGAGTTACTATTTTGTTAATATTTGCTATAGTGATGCTAGTTAGAAGTCAGACAGATAGCTAAAGTTATTAGCATTCAGCAGTCACTGTTAACGCCATTAAGTACTTTGGTAAATCCAAGAATCCCTCAGTTGCATTGAAATGACAATCATATTACTTCATATTACTTCAAGGGGCTTCAGAAAAGAAATTACAAGCTATTCCACCATTTTCTAGTGCTAATATCACAAGACTGTCTGGGGGCAGTCGGGGGCTGGAGGTTAGGGAACCAGCCTTGTGACCGGAAGGTCGCTGGTTCGATCCCCTCAGCTGACAGTACGTGACCGAAGTGCCCTTGAGCAAGGCACCTAACCCCCAGCTACTCCTCCCCGGGTGCCGTGGATAGGGTGTGTGTGGTGTTTAACTGCACGGATGGGTCAAATGCGGAGGTCTAATCCCAATGTGTTCAGACAAAGTTGGCTAAAAAAGGTTCATTTCATTTCAAGACTGCTCAAAAACTTTGTCATTCTTATACAGGGAGATTCACTTGAAAGAGGCCTTGAATATTCTATAATAAGTCTCGCTAGGAAGAAGCAATCTGAATGAAACATCATGCAATGTGCTCCTCAGTATATGGAGCTTCGAAAAAACTGGGATGCCCCTGCGTCGGAGCGATGAGGAAGACGCAGGACCTCCGCTGCAACGGTTAACCGCCGTTTGCAACTTCCGAGTGCATACCCCCGTAAGCCTTCATGTGTCTGGCAGAAAACAAGATCACTTCCAGCATCGCATATAATGCAATCGATTACACATACGTCAAGGTATGTAGGTTGGTTCAGATTGCTTCATCCTAACGGGAGCTACAACTTACAATAAGAATATTCAGGGCCTCTTTTGAGTGAATCTCCCTGTATTAACCTGCAACATAATAAAAAGGCTTTATTCACTCTTCTTTTGCAAGTGAATAGGCTTCATAAACAGCAGGGAACATTAAATACACTTATGGGATATAAACATAACCATTCTTCATAATGTGGACAATTTCTCATCACAAAAGCTTGAAATATTCAATCATTATATGGTGGTTTATAGCGGAGAGCAACAGCACACAGACAGAAATGCCAGTGCAATCTCAGACGCTGAAAGTCTAAGGCCAGGTTCAGGTCCAGTTCAAAAGATAATCAATACTCCTTCTCTCTCACCCTATCTCTCTCTCTTTCTCTCCCAACACTCTCCATTTCTCCTCTTCTCCATCCTCTTGACTGCATCTTGCTGTCTAACACACAAAGACACACACATACACACACACACACATACTCTAATCACTTTATGCACTCAAAGGCCATATGAACATTTACTGGGATGCTTTGCTTTGAAAGCTACGGCAACAAAAGGTACGTTCCACCAGTGGCGGGGAGGGGACCACTCGGAGGCTCCTCTTATTCCTTCAAAAGCACCAAACAGCACGTCTGAAAGCCCCTCTACAATAAGAGAGTCCATCAATTATAGTCCACAGAGGCCAGCACAATAACCTGGGAGACAGAAGGATGCTTTATGGACGGACGCTGTGGTCTCGAGGCCTGCTACAGTGCGCTGACTCATTCGCTGATTACTTTTTCAGCAGCTCACGGGAAAAAGCAGAGGAGCTGAGGTTTATGATCAGCGCCTTATTGCCGGCACACTCCACAGGTACAATAAATGGACTGAGAATAAGATACTGATGCTAGACAGACATTATATGGCCAAAAGTATGTGGACCCCTCACCATCACACCTACATGAGTTTGTTTGCCATCCCATTCCAAAATCATCAGTGTTAATGTAGAGTTGCCCGTGACCCTTCGTTGGAACTAAGGGGCCGAGCCCAAACTCTGAAACCATTATCGCTCCTCCACCAAACTTTACTGTTAGCACTATGTTTTTCGATAGCTAGCATTCTTCGGGCATGGGCCAAACTCAGAATCGTCCATCAGACTGCTGTGATTCTTTACTTCAGAGAACATGTTTCCACTGCTCCAGAGTCCAGTGACCATTCCAGCCGACACTTGGCATTGTACACAATGATCTTAGGCTTGTGTGCAGCTGCTTAGCCATGGAAACCCTTCCAGAAACTTTTGAGGCACAAATTTGGTGCTGATGTTGCTTCCAGAGGCAGTTTGGAACTTTATATTGAGTGATGCACTATATTTTATGCACTACCTGCTTCAGCACTGCTCTGAGAGTTTGTGTTCTCTACCACTTTGTTGTTAAGCTGTTGTTGCTCCATTTTACAATCTAAAGCAGAAACTTCATGAACTGACTTGTGGCAAAGGTGGTGCGCTGTGCCATGTTTAAAGTCACAGAGCTTATCAGTACAATCCATTCTACTGCCAGTGTTTGTCTATAAAGACTGCTTGACAATGATTTTATACACCTGTTAGCAATAGATATGGCTGAACAACTTGATCCTAATAATTAGGAGAGATGTCCAGATACATTTGGCCATGTAGCATGTAATCACATGTGCAGGCTTTAGTGCAAATTATGTCACCAGCTAATGGTGGAAGGCTGCAACAATAACTCTGATAACTGATATTGATGCAATGTTTCATTCATAGAAATTTACAGAAAAAAAAAATAAAATAAAAAATAAAAAAAACGGAAGAAATGAACAAGAATAATGAATTGCTTATGTAATGTTTCATCATGTTTTTGCAGTTTCACATGCTGGACACTCTAACGGAGAGTCTTAACATGGCCAAGAACTGCCTGCTGCTACAGGAAAAGACAATTCGACTGACAAGCAATATGATCAATCAAAGCCAGATGTTTTAGGAAAAAGTGTATATGAGAGTGCGATTGGAATACTATGTTAAATTGCTCAGCTCCAATGACATCATCTTCATTTTTCCCCATGGAAGCCACAACCATGCCTTTGTCTCTGAGGTACTTCAATTGATCTTCTATTATTGATAGAACCAACAACATCAGGTGACCTGGGAACCCTGGTAGCTGTTCACAGAAGGTTGGCTATGCTTGTAATACAAGGTTTTACCCATAGCCCGACAGCTAACACATAATAATGTCTCCCTTACTCGCTATTAACTGCTTTAAACAAAACTCGTGAATAACAGCAAGATACCATGCACTTCACAAACGTTCACAATATCCAGTGCAGGTAACTGTTCACCAATGCTGACTGGAATTTTGCTGGAAGGCAAAATTTTCTTTCTGCTGGAACAATAAAAAAAACATGCAGGCAACTTGCAAAATTTCGCCAGCTTAACACATTTATCCATCCATAGATATCAGATGCTTTGTGGACATGTGGCTGACAGTATGTTGATATGACACCAATGGTCACTCTGGCAGATTGCAGTATATTTAAGGTGATATGGCTTGTGTTATTTCATTACACCACATACAGAACAGAGGGGAGGGAGAGTAATCGAAGAAGATATAATTAGTAGATTAGACTAGACTAGACTAGACTGGAGAATATATTAGACTACTTTTGCTTCTCCTATAAGTGTTTCTGCGATTTTCTTATGCCAGTGCTGATATACAGGCAACTCCACAGGGAGCGCAAGACAGCATGCTCTGATTCTGCTCACCAGTTTTGGGGTCGACAGTGAAGTAGGGCTGCCCTTGTAAGATGCTGTAGACAATCCTTGCGCTGTTGCCGTATGTGGGGTCATCAGCGTCAGTGGCAGTGATCTGGAATACTGATGTTCCTGTGAAGAGGAGAAGAGAAAGAGGGGGATATTTTGCAGGGATGCTCTTCGTTGTGTACACGCAAATGCTTGTGTTTGCGTTGGTGCGCTGATGCCCAGAGCAAATAGTGGCTGGAGTTGCTCTATACGGCCTGCCCTTTTCTTCAGCTGAACCCAGCCTGTTAGGGTCTCTATCTGACCTGACCTAACCAGAATCCACCCAATATCATCCTCTGGCCTGAACTTCACAGAGCAGGAACAACTTTGAAATTTCCACATTTTTCGCCTAATGAGAATGAAGCCTGTTTCTGCCACCTGGAGAAAAAGCCATAAAGTAAGTAGTAATAATGAGGAAATTTCGGTAAAACTTTCGATGAATGTCGCATTTGTAAGCATCTATAAACACATTTATAACATGTTAGAATGTATTTATAAGGCATTATAAACATGGTTATAAATATTTATAAAAAAGAATTACTCTGAATTACACTTTATAGCCATGTTTATTATACATTATGAATTGTTAATATAATGCATTATAAATAGTGTTAATAACATGTTATAATGTCAGTGCCAAAGAAATACCAAGCTAACGGTGGTGTACATTACCTTTCCCACACTGGGTAAAACACTGATGGCAGCACTAGTTTAAACTCTGACATTTGAAGCCTGTAATGTGCTTTACTGTGTATGTTTTAGTGTTTCAGTAAATCCTTCAGTAAATACTTCAACTTGAAGCCTCACTCTTAACACTGGAGGAGGCTTTAGTACAGTATGCCTCACTTTACTTAGAGCGGAAAATGAGCTCTTATGATTTGTTATGATCAGTACTTATAATATATTATGTTAACAATTCATAATGCATAATAAACATGGCTATAATGTATAATGCTTTTTTATAAATATTTATTGCTATGTTTATAATGTCTTATGAATGCATTATACCATGTTATGAATTGTTACCAAAATTTCTCATAGTCATGACTTAGTATCTCATATAGATGACTTAGTGTCTCAGAATAATGATTTATCATAATTATGAAGAGTTCTTACCCACACCGAACATGCAGGGTATATCATTCCTGTCTTATACTGGTTACATTGGCTACCTGTTATTTCACATATTAAATGCAATATACTTCTGCCCTAAATACATAGCCCTGGCACTTCCATATTTAACTCAACTCCCTTCATCCCTTCATGTAAAATCATGTTATGGTAGCTTAGCCCAAGTTTGTGGGGTCTAAGGTATCAATTGATGGAGTTATTGTTAAAACTTCTCAGTTAATCATAGTGTATTATTTGACCCTTTTGCCTACCATAAACCTGCCTGCCACAACTACCTTTTTCATCTCTGCAATACTGCACGTCTATGACCTCTGCAGAAGTCCAAAGATGCTGAAACATTGGTCCAACTTCTTGACTTCATTAAAGCAATTCTACTCTCACTGTTTTCCCTGAAAAACACCTTAAACAGATTGCAATATGTTCCAAACTTGGCTGCAAGAGTTCTCACTCACACCAAATGTGCAGAGCATATCACTCTTGTTTTATACTCCATGCATTAAATACAAGATACTTCTCATTACTTTTAACGCTACATCTGGCACCTCCATATTTAACTCAGCTCCTTCATCTGTACATCCCTCCGCATAAACTCAGGTCTTCTGGCACTGGGCTGTTTGTTGTCTCCCTCAGATTAGATTGTCTCCGCTAATCTCTGGTCTGGAATTCCTTTGCCCAGCATATTCATGACTGGTCATCCATTTCCTCCTTTAAACCTGACTTCAGAACATTTCTCTTCACTTAGAGCTGCTCTTTCACATCAACAACATCGATTTGTTTGTTGTGCTCCCATTTCTGTCCTATTCGTTTAATTCATTCGGTTTGTATTGTCTTTGTCTTTTACTCTGTTTATTTTGCTTTTATTATTATTATTATTATTATTATTATTATTATTATGAAGTTGACTCAAATGAAAGTTTATTAATACAGCACTTTTTTAGAACAGGCGTTATCACAGAGCAGCTTTCCTGAAAATCAGGGTCCAAACCTCAATGAGCAAAACCAAGGGCAACAGTTGCAACAGTACTTTTATTATTATTATTATTATTATTATTATTATTATTATTATTATTATTATTATTATTATTATTATTGTTGTTGTTGTTGTTGAATATCTTATAAGAATATATTATCTCATAAAAACGACAGAATTCCCTCATAAGATGCTAAGTATCTCATCATTATGAGATACTAAGTTATAATGATAAGAAAGGATCTCAATAGTATGAGATAGCACTCATAACTATGAAATATGACCCTGTTATCATTATCATATTTATATAATCATATACACTATTATAACATAATTATGACAGTCTCTCACTATTATAGGATAGGAATATCACAATTGTGAGATAGTAAGTCATTGTTATAAGACATTATCTCATTGTTATAAGATATCAAGTCATAATTATGAGATATTAAGTTAATTATGTGAACCTCTCTAATTATGACTTACTAAATGGCTGCATTCTTTTCCAGTGGTAGAAACAGGTCTCTATTATACAGTGTTATAAAGCACATAATCAAAGTTAGGCACTATTCATAAGGCAACAAGACACCTACATAAGGCTTCCATGACAACTGACATAAACCTAAACTTTTAAAAAGGTTTTAGCCAACCAGCTTTTGTCATCATGAAAGCTGCCCTTGTCGATTTTGATATAATTTTAACTCAGTAAGTGTTATGACCACTGATACTTGTTGGAATAAACCCTTGTGCATTAGTTGTCGTGAAAGGCTTTTGTAGGTGTCGTGTAGCTGTAAGAACGCTGCCCTTCTGTAAAGTCTTCTTGAATTATTGAACAACTTTATGTGGTTTAAAGTGATGATTTAGAAATGCAGTGTGCACAAAACTAATTGACATTACTTGTTAGCTACACAAGCCTCATAGCTCTGGTGAAGTGAGCACATCTTGGCTCATCGACTGCATTTGGGTTAAGGGGAAAATTTGATTTTCCACCAAGCTATTTCTTTAATGCTTCTTTCTGAGAGCCAGGCATGGGCCTGAGAGATAGCGCTGCACAAGCCTTGCACTCAGTCCTCGCCATATAAGAATAATACCTTGACGCTATGAGAAGAAAAGCAGACCATTCCACAATAGCTGCTGTGAAGATTCCAGCTGCTTCTGCTGACCAGCATGACCAAGGAACATCCTGTCGATGCCTCTGGCCATTAATCCAGCCAGCAGGGCCCTATATAGAGCCGGTAAAACTGCAAGCTGTCCTTTAAGTTAAATGTTTCAGGACAAATGGACCAAAAGGAACTTTGAGGCAATCCTTTCACAAGACCTTTTTAAATGACAGCAACAGATGTTAAACTAAATATTAGAAACTTTTCCATTTTTGAGATACAAGGTTCTTTTATAAGAGTGAGTACTTATTTAACACAGTTAGTAGGCCACCAGACAGTCTTTGCCTGATAGTCTTTGATGGACTTCTAATGTTGCTCAGTGGTTTATCTCCTGGATCTTTCCTCTGTCTGATCTCAGAGCTTCTGTTTAATCTTACTTCTAAGCTCGCCCCACATGCATACTGACTGAGGAGGCCCATAAGATGATGAGTTCCTCTTTAAATTCTTGGTTCCTCTCAGTGTTTCTTTATTGTGCTTTGAAGGATTTTTTTTTCCTTTTAGATCTTGGTTTCTCTCAGTAGATCTTCATCTAGTGCTTCTCTCAGTGTTTGTTCCTCATGTTTTTAGGGAGTTCTTTCGTTTAAGTCTTGGTTCCTCACAGCTGATCTTCCTCATTTTAGGGATTTAGGGTGTTTTTTTACTTGTTCTTTTGTCTTGGTTGTTCTCAGGGTTTCTTCATTGTTTCTAGGTGTTTTCTCAAATTCTTAAGGGGTTCTTTCTTTTGAGGCTTGTTTCTCAGTGTTTCTTTCTCATGTTCTTAGTTGGTTCTCTCTTTTGAGTGTTGGTTCCTCTTAGCGCTTTTCTCTCATGTTCTTAGTTGGTTCTCTCTTTTGAGTATTGGTTCCTCTTAGTGTTTCTTTCTCATGTTCTTAGGGGGTTCCCTCTTTTGAGTCTTGGTTCCTCTTAGTGTTTCTTTCTCATGTTCTTAGTTGGTTCTCTCTTTTGAGTATTGGTTCCTCTTAGTGTTTCGTTCTCATGTTCTTAGGGGGTTCCCTCTTTTGAGTCTTGGTTCCTCTTAGTGTTTCTTTCTCATGTTCTTAGTTGGTTCTCTCTTTTGAGTATTGGCTCCTCTTAGTGTTTATTTCTCATGTTCTTTGTTGGTTCTCTCTTTTGAGTATCGGTTCCTCTTAGTGTTTCTCTCTCATGTTCTTAGTTGGTTCTCTCTTTTGAGTATTGGTTCCTCTTAGTGTTTCTTTCTCATGTTCTTAGTTGGTTCTCTCTTTTGAGTATTGGTTCCTCTTAGTGTTTCTTTCTCATGTTCTTAGTTGGTTCTCTCTTTTGAGTATTGGTTCCTCTTAGCGCTTTTCTCTCATGTTCTTAGGTGGTTCTCTCTTTTGAGTATTGGTTCCTCTTAGTGTTTCTTTCTCATGTTCTTATGTGGTTCTCTCTTTTGAGTATTGGTTCCTCTTAGTGTTTCTCTCTCATGTTCTTAGGTGGTTCTCTCTTTTGAGTATTGGTTCCTCTTAGTGTTTTTCTCTCTTGTTCTTAGGTGGTTCTCTCTTTTGAGTATTGGTTCATCTTAGTGTTTCTCTCTCATGTTCTTAGGTGGTTCTCTCTTTTGAGTATTGGTTCCTCTTAGTGTTTCTTTCTCATGTTCTTAGTTGGTTCTCTCTTTTGAGTATTGGCTCCTCTTAGTGTTTATTTCTCATGTTCTTTGTTGGTTCTCTCTTTTGAGTATTGGTTCCTCTTAGCGCTTTTCTCTCATGTTCTTAGTTGGTTCTCTCTTTTGAGTATTGGTTCCTCTTAGTGTTTCTTTCTCATGTTCTTAGTTGGTTCTCTCTTTTGAGTATTGGCTCCTCTTAGTGTTTATTTCTCATGTTCTT